TAAACGTTTGATTCTATCAAGAGTCAGCGTAATTTAATATATTATGTTAAAATGTTATACATATTAATAGAAAAGTAATAAATATATAATCATTAAAATAAAAATTCCTACACATAAAAACAAAAATTTTCTATCTCTTTGTAAGAATATACAAAAGTAATATAATCTGTGGAATTTTTGATTATATAATTACATAATTATTTTTTCCTAAGATTGAAACATCACAAATAGATATTATTTTAATTAACTATAATAAAATATGATACGTATTATTTATATTCATTATTATTATTAATTCAATTTAATTATTGTCAATTTTGAATTATTTTATTATATTATTTATAATTATTTATATCATATATTTGTGATAAAGACTACTGTTTTCCAATTTTTTTCATTACATATATATATCTTCTGCTTAATTAAATATGGCTGCCTTTGCATCATATTTCGTCATATAAGTGTTATATGTGTTAGCAATCTAGTATAAAAGTACAATACATAAAAATCTGCATATTCGCCGCTTCGGCGTTTCTAGAACCTCTTCATCCCTCTCTCTCACGTCTCTCTAAAGATCCCTTCTTTTATCTCGATCCACGTGAATTCTTCGCATCGCGTCCTTGAGTCTTTTGGAATCGGAAATGACGTCACCACGGGAAAGAAAAGACGGAGAAAGTCGTCCTGCGACGGAAACCAACGTTCAGGACGTCGACGAACTGATCGAATTACACACGTCCCTTACGTCGTCGATAGTCCACCGAAACGGTGAAAGGGAGATTTGGAATTGCAAATATCCAACTCGCTTAGTGAATCCCTTCCGCAAGATCTCTCTTCTCTGTTCTCTGTCGACAGTGGAGACTGACTTAGCTTCTTTTTCTATATATTCGACACGTGCAATTGACCCACGTGTGTTGCGCGACATGTTTGTGTGTGCGTGTATATTTTATTTATTTATTTATTCATATATACATATATTTTATAAATTTGAAATATTTGTACAGTGCAATTAAAATGGGATAATCTGTATATATATACATATACACACACATACATACATAGAAATATATTTATTAATTATATTATTTATTTGTATTAGTTTAATTAATTATTAAATTTATTTGGTTTCTATAGGAAAGATTTTAATTAAATTATTAATGTATTATTTATTTATACATATGTGTTTATTTTTTATAATAAAATTATAAAATATGTAATAGTATATTGTGTATCAAGTGCGGAAAGTTGACAATTGGTCACGAGTGCAACCCACACGAGTGAACAATTGTCAATCTGCACGTGATACACATACTATTTTGTATTACAAGTGCAAAGTGGCTTTGTGCGCGTTTTCTGTGCGCGAGGTGGCCGATCGCACGCCGCCATCTTGCGGCGGCACGGTGCGGGAATAGCCGTGTTCAATACATTGCCTACGGCTTCAGTCGTGGACAATGATTTTGAACGCGGCTCAGCCGTAGGCAATGACTTTGAATGCGGCTTATTCACTCACCGCGTCGCTGTTAGATGGCGGCGTGGGAAATCAGCCGCTTTCCGCACAGAAAACACGTACTAAAAGTGCCACTTTGCCTGCACGTGTAATACAAAATATAAATTCTTTATCATCAAAGAAGAAAGAGCATATAGATATATGAAGATAAAGTCATATACATATATAAAATTAAAAAATAAAGTATATTCATGTATGTATATATTTTAATTTTTGCAGCAAATTAGGCTATCGTTACTTATATCATGAGTTAGGTATCTTTTTTCCACAACACTCACATACATATTAATGAGAACAGAAATTTATCACTTCTGTGTTGCCTCCATCATTCAAGCGTCTCGATTCTGTCCGAACGACCGGAAAATAGGTCGGCGAGAACGATAATCCGTAACGACTAGGCGGAAGATAAAAGAAGGAAAGGAGGGTCATTAAGAAGATAGACATAGCATGACGACGGATGCAGACGGATTATATGAAGGTGCACACAGAAGGCGAAGCCGTTACAAGAATTGGAGAATTATCCGGTCGAGTCTTTCAAATGTCCGTCAGTTTTCATAAAGGATTGTATCTAAAATCGTACAGATCACTATCTTGCTACGAATAGAACAATTTTCGAATGTTGTTTTTTTCAGTGCCGATTCTACCAATATTCTTTAGCTAAATCATAGTTTATTTATGGAATTTTTTTTCTACATTTTACAAATAGATATTAACATTTATTTTGATATATTGGGGTTACAAGATGCTTTTTTGCAAGGAATCCTCAACAAAAATGTCGAGACATCAATAATTTTCGAGTTATAAGCGATTGAAAATAAGAAGTTTTTCGCAAATTAAGCTTTGTGGAAAAATCAAATATTAACAAAATCATATTTTTTTATTAATTTTATGTAGAGTTTACTTTAATAGAATTTTAATTTAAGGCTTAATTATGAAGATACATGATGGCAAAAATTAGGAATATGCAAAAAAATGGCCTCTCTTGACATTTTCGCTGAGGAAAAATCGTGTCCAAATGATCCCAGGAATTAACAAATTTGTTATTAATTTTAGGATATCTTGCATATATATTTAAAATTGATAATAATCAAGTAATTAATTAGCAACACAACTGACGATGCTACTAAATAAGCTCGCTATGTTTTTCAAATTCTTAGACCTTTTAGTTCTTTCTACTTTGTACTTTAACATTTTTTATATTCATAAATTTTCAATTAATTTTTTTAGTCTTTTACAAAATCGAAAAAAATTACATAATTTTAATTTTTGTCAAAAACATATATTTTATTTTCTTAATGATCGCTTACTCCAACGATACTTTGACGAATATTTGTGTCAATGAAAATATACATATGTGACATGTGATCACGTATATGTATATCTATAGCTCGATTCGTTCGATAGCATCGATATATACCGAGGGCGAGAGGGCGGACGGACGATCGCTTATCCGTCGTCACGAGCGCTTTTTTTTGCTCCCTTCCCCGAGGATTTATATTTTACCTCGCGCGTTGTGACGAAGTTGACTGGGGTTAAAAAAAAATCTGCGGAAAAGCGAACGGAACGATCTCGTCGGTGGTGACTCCTGTAAATTCTTCGGGATATGTATCGATATCGCGCGCATGCACACATACCACGAGCTTTTACTTTGCCGCGGACGAATAAAAAAAAAATATTCGTGAGAGAGAGAGAGGGAGGGAGGGCAAGCGAGAGTTGTATTTTTATGGAAAAAAAATGTTGCTAACTGCACGCGCTATATTCGAGATGCATATCGCATATTATTTTTGCATCGTGTGAAGCGTGAACCCTCTATCGACGCGATGCGACAAAATTGTGCGACCAATTGACGACAAGTAACTATGGCGAAAATTGAATAAAAAATACAACTATTAATGATAAGTTTCTCGAATTTGCGCACTACCATTCCTCGAAATTTGGTTAATTACACTAGTTTACAGCCAAAAATTATTTTAAACGAAGCGTTTCTTATAGATTTTTGAGTACTAAAAACGATGTCGCAAACTAAATTTTACTAGCACGATCAAATTTCTAAATTAACTCGTGTAAAAATTGGCTTTTTTATGACATTTAAGATTTTTTTTTGTAAAAAAAAGTTTACGTTATCTGGAAAGTCTGATCAAACATCATGAATGTATTTGTCATCCTCTATAAAATGCAATTTTTGTTTCACTATTTTACTTTTTAACCATGTTATGAAAGATTAAAGCTAGGAGCTACTTTTCATATATGAGAGATGCTCCTGAAGAAAAATAATTTTTTTGGAAAAAATTATTTTTTCTAATATTGATTTGTATTATTAGAGCGCGAAACATACACCATTATCTGGTTTTATGTAATTTGTGTGTGATTTAACTTTTTAATAATTATAATTTTAATAGTAGATATCTTGTATCGCCAGTGATGAATAAAATTAAAAATAAATGTGAGACGACCCAACTGGCTTAAATTAATTCTTATTATTACTTTACTTTCTTAAAAATCAAAATTCTTGTATGTACATCTATTGTATTTTTTAATGTTAATTTTAGACTTGATAAGGACCTAAACCTAAGGTCGAAACGTTGTCTTTTCTTGTACATGGCATCAAACTAATAATAATAAGAATTAATTTAAGCCAGTTGGGTCGTCTCACATTTATTTTTAATTATAATTTTATTTAATTTTATTTTGATAACTGTTAACCCTCGTGATAGCTGCTCGATGTTACGAAGTTATGAATACAACCCACAACATGAATCGAGTCAGCCAATCAGCATCGCGGAAAAGCGACAACGATGTCAATAACATGCCTTTTTTGTAGATGATGAATGGATTTCATCCTCTTTAGAATATACAACTTTTGTCTGGAATACTTTTTACAAAGTGCATTTGTTTCGAAAAATTCATCATAGGCGAAATCATGGTATACATATATAGAAAGATAAACTATTGCGCATAATAGCGGAAGTATGAAATCTTGACCAATCAGAGTTTGAGTTTTATGTAGTTCAATACTTACTCAATGACAGTTCAATGGAATAGTGAAGTCAGTAAGCAGCCATTTAAATTTCTCATAAAAGCATAATTGACTGACTATACATATCCCTTAATTTTGATCTACTGCGAAATGGTTTATTATCTTTTGTATTTACACCATGGACGAAATATTTACTATCTCACTGTATTCAAATTCTTCTCCTAACATGACTAAAAAGATATATTAAAATAAAACAAATTTTATAGAAGATGAACAATGATTTGATCAAAATTTCCGGATAATGTTAACCTTTTACACAAAAAATTTAAATTTCATGTTTTTGCATATTAAACGGTAATTATATTTCGAAAAGCTGATAGTAAAAACTGCTAGTAAAAATTGATTTGCGACATTGTTTTCAGCATCAAATCTATAAGAAACACTTTATAGGGTTAAAAAATTGAAAAAAGTATTATTTTATAAACTAATGTTAATGATATATATTGTATTCGATTTTAGGTTTTCAAAGCTTCTTGCTAGAGAAGATTGGAACGGATGGAAGATCGGACAAGTGCGAAATTGGAACGCGCGCACGCGAAACGGGCGAATGAGTTTCGTTCGATACGGCATAAATATTCACGGCTGGATCGGAAACGCGCGACGTCGAAATTAGATGACGCAAATTGCATTACACCCCGGATGTCTCGAAACTGTCGTCTTTTCTTCCGAAGTCAGACGAAGATAACGCCGCACCAGTCAAGAAGAATGACGTCTCGACCCATTAATCGTTTCTTAATTATTATTACACTTAACCTAACCTAGAAACCTTCAAGTAAGAGACATGTAAACTAGTTATAACATCGGGATTGGTTAATGACTGACTTTGCAAAAATATGGCGGAGCCTATGAAATAATTTGATTTTATATTTGACTTACAATTAGGTATATTGACAAAGTAAAGATGAAGTAGAAATAAATTCAGTAAAACTGATTTGAAGAATTATATATATATATATATATATATATATATATATATATATATCAAACAAAAGAAAAAAGCAACCCGGCATTGTGGTAAGTTTGTAGTGGAATATCGACTACAATTTTTTATGTACATATCACATCAAATATTAGGTTAAGAGCGTGATTATCTTCAAATATACATATTTTCAATTTTCATGTATTTTATAACTTTTTCGTGTAAAATATATTATAATAAGATTAAATGTTTATACATATGTATTTTAGTATTATACATATATTAATTTTAATATATTTATATTTTTCTAACAATAAATTTTATAAACTGATCACACTCGCGTCATAGCGGCCGCCATAATCTTGTAAGAGATTACACTTTGCATGTCTCTTATTTGAAGGTTTCTAATTAAACCTAACCTAACCTATCTAATTAAACCTAACCTAATCTATCCTAACTTGAAAATAACCTATGGTAGCGTAACCATTGCTATCGCGATTATAACAGTTTATATTTTTCGTATGCAATACCTGTCACGTGTGTGTGTATATGTGTGTACCAACGTTATCCAGAGTTTAACACAGCGCGGTCGAAATTCCGGCATCCGATTTCCGTGATGTTTTCGTTTTTTTCGCCTTTTACATGTCATTCCGAGTGTTATATACAACGGATCAGAACACAAGTTACAACGTTCGTCGTGACAACGTTTTGTCCTACTATTTTATGTTATATTTTTTACTTCGTTTAAGATAGCTTCCGAATTATACTAGCCACGACACACTGCGTATATATATATTTTCTTTGCGAGTTTCTTCGTATTTAAAATTGTATTTAAAATTGTACTTATTTAGATTTAACAAAAGATAAACAGAATCATATATTAAAATTAATATTACATTATTATTGTTATTAATAATAAGCGTTATGCTCGTCTATCAACGTCTGTAGTCATTATTCGTTGCATCGACAGCAATAATTACGCGCGGGCAGGTATTGATTAACCTTTTTTTTTTAGAAAACTAATGAGCTAAAATTGGCCGAAAGTACGAAATTCGAACAACAACGTGCATTTTGTAAATTACATGATTACGTAATGTTTGATCTAGCAGCTGACCGGTCAGCGAAATAATGCACGTTCGATCCCGCAACTGCAGTGTACCTAACTCCCAAGTTTTGCAAACTAAAAACCGATTTTATATTAATCCACATTTGAACGTGACATTTGAACTTTGCAGCGCAATCGAAAATACCGACTCGGTGATAATGACCGCAAAATAAAACCTTTCTCTCTCTCTCTCTTGCTCTCTCGCTCTCTACCTCTATCTCTATCTTTATTTTTATCCTTGTCTCTATCTCTATCTCTCTCTATTTCTATCTCTATCTCTCTCAATCTCTGTTACAATTACTTTTTTTGGTAATGATTTGATGACGCATCGTTACTCTATCTGTAATGAAAAAGTAACGACGTTACATTTTCTTACGTAACGGTAACGAAATTGATCCGCTACTTTCATCGTTACTTTTTAATAGATTTCTATAGGCAGCATTCATATTCAGATCTTAAATATAAGATGGACTATTGGTTTCTGCACAGAATGTAATAAAAAAATAAGGTATATGTAAAATACTAATAAAAATATTTAAAATAAACATTTTTAAAAATAATTTATGTCATAGCTTATATCCTGTTTAACTTATAGCAGTAAAAAAAGTAATAGATTTTTAATCGTTACTTTTAAGTAACGGTAATGCGTTATTTTTTAAAATCAGTAACAATAACAAGTTACTTTTTATCGAAAATAACGCGCGATAACGAGTTACTTTTAAAAAGTAACTTTCCCAAACCTGCTCTATCTTTCTCTTTCTATCTATCTCTATCTCTGTCTCTATTTCTAATTATATTTCTATCTCTAACTTTATCTCTATTGCTATCTCTATCTCTATCTTTAACTCTATCTCTATTTTTATCTCTCTCTCTTTTTCTTTTTGTCTACTTTTTCACATTTGCTCGACCTTTTTCTCTCTCTTTTGTCTTCCGTCACAATCTCGCGCGCTCGCCCGCTCTTTCGACTGTCTGACGTCTGGTTCACGACCTCGTTCTATTCTCGCTGAAATTACAAGCTCCGTCGGTTCCTCCGAAAGTTCGACCACGCGCGCAACCGCACGCCACGACGACGGCGGAAACTCTGCCGCGACGCACGCCGCCAGGAAAAGAACGCCAAAATAGAAGAGGAGAATCGATGCGTTATTCTTGTGATCGAAAAAAATCTCATTGTAATTTCAAGAATAATCCTCCATTTTCATTAAACGCTAAAGCTTTTCTCCAATAATTTTGCTATTATCTTCGAAAGAACTATATATTATTTTAACCACATTTGTGAATACCACGGGTAATAGTTGTAGAAAATACGGTCGAAAAGTGGGAAGCGGCGCGCTTCTCTTGTTTCATGATGGAAAGTGCCAAGCGGTACAATTGCGCTTCTCTTGTTTCGAGTCGAAAAGTGTCAAGTAATGATTACGAAAACAAAAGTTTTGATGAAGATTAGTGCAAATTTGTTTTGAGTCATAACTACGATAACAGTGCGTCGCAATAAAGAAATTTAAATGTCTCTTTAATCTATTGAAATGTGTGGTGACTTCTTGAGAAAAATCCGATAAATCCTATATACAGTTGGCTAGTTGAATATTAGAAGTTTTTGATCACTCTGGTTACTCTGTCGATGTGTATGAATTTTGTGCTATTGAGATGCGTACTATCAGGACCCTATCTGATTTTTGATAACGGGCAACGGAAAACAGCGCTATATGCATTCAAACGATTAAATAATATTACATATATATCAATTATTGTAACATAATTTTTTAAGAATATGCAATCAAAGAACTTCGCCTATTTTGGGTCATTTATTCGTTTAATGGCTCATCATCAGAGCTTCAAGATAACAAATACGACATTACTGTACTTAGAAGATATCTGTATACCTTTTGAAAGATATTCAGCATATCCTAGATACTGAATAACCAACATGACATGGGAACAATAGCTTACGATACTAGCACCATTTTACCAAGATACCTCCACGAGGAGATGCCTTGGATGTAAAAATAAATCTTTAGGAAAGGATCAATACAAAAAACAAGAATTCTGGAAGCCATTCAACTGTAAAATAAAAAATCATCAGTTTATTGTAAGCGTAAAAACATCATGTAAGCATAGATAATAAAATGCATATAATTTATACACCAGCATTGATGAAGTCCTAACATTGATCGCCGAGTGTTTTGGATACTAGCACCTATACATTGTTAATCCTTTCATGATGCTTTACAATTTGATATATGTCTCATTTTTAGGCTCGGGGGCTCAGAAATTCCTATAAAAATGGGCAAAATTCTTTCAATTATTTATTATTACAGTCTTCAATCAACCCTTTTGATCTCTCCTCATAACAATAATGATAACACGATGATTAGCACAAGATATATTTATGGTAGTCGCGATCGTGTGTCAGATTAAAAATTATACATGGGATTTCGAATCCTGATTATTTTAGCATCACATATCGATCGAACCTGAGTCAGAGTGACGGACAAATTTGATTACATCCCTTTTTTTTAGTGCTGTTCATCCTCACTCGTGGTCTGCCGATTACGCGAGGCGAGAGCATGATGTCAATTATTCACATGTAACGAAATTGATTAGCCCAGGACCGGTGCGCGAGTGCGTAAAGGCTGCGGTCGTAAAATGCTCTTAATGGTCTTACCTCGTCCGGCCGGAATTAATTTAGTGCCGCTTTGTCGCGCTATTACGAGGTGCCCAAGAACCTTTTTTTTATAGCAGTTGAAGTGTTTGCTATTACGATGAATAATAGTAATATTTTATCCGCGATAATTTTATAGAGGAATTTTTTCTCTATATCGCGTTTCAGTTAAAATTTTGTAACTTTTAATTATTCAAATTAATATTAATTTATTAAGTTACACACTTTTTCTGAAATTCATCAAAAATTTAGACAAATTAATTTAAAAATTCGACTTTAAAGACAAAAATAGATAAAATGACCTATCAAATTGAGGGGTACCGGAAATAACATTCTTATCTAAAACTATAACTATTTAGCGATTAACTTTATCACGAAAATATTTTTAATTTTGTGTTTTGTCTTTTTATATTTTAAAAAGTTTCAATATTTATACATACTTTTCACATAAATACCTAATCCATATCAATAATAATATAATGTCTTTTTACGACGAATGTGTTCGCGTAATGACGCGATAAGAGATGCGGAAAAAGTCGCGCAGACTCAGCTCACTCATGCGATCGCAGTGATATTTTTCTCGCCCCCGTTGCACCATCCGTACAAGCACTATAATCCACAAGGGTGCTCATGCGAGCCAGCTATGGTCGACAGTGATGGCGACTCGAGCCCGAAGGGGATTTTATGACAAACAAGCCGGCAAGTGCCATCTGCGGCTGTCAGAGCCATCATGCCACGCCTGATGCCACCCCCTGTGCGTCACCTCCCTCTCTCCCCGGCGACATTAACAACGTCAAGGGTGGCCTGCTAGCTTTGCCAACGAAGTGTTTGTCATAGAGATTAGGCTGCTTGATGTCCGGCCTGCTGCAGCATTCTGATGATCCGTAAGACCTTTCGGTACGAGGTACCCCTGAACGATCCCCTAAGTTGCAGCCCTTCCGAGCAATGATCCTGCAGGCGCACGTGCAACGATGTATTTAGGGCAACGGTTAGAGCTCTAATTGTAAGAGTAGAAGTCCTAATTAAGGGCGC